ACTAGAGACCTCGGAGGTTTGTAGGAAATTAGTTGTACTATCACCTCCCGAGAGGAATACGTCAAGTTACAAGTCACGCTGTATAACATTTGGTACGTTAGTACTTTGTCGTACGACCCATATAAAATAGATCGAGCAAATTATTATTAGCCATCTTATCGTCTTTTGGGATTCCACCTATCACCATATCTAGTCCTACTATTAACAATAAATTGTCAATGTTTTAATCGGACGAAATGTTATATGCATACTACGCTGCGTAGAACTTAACGGGTTACCGGGGCTCCGGTTCGAAGTGCAGGAATGGGAACGGGGTGGTTTTTAGTCAGTAAGAGTCTGACACTCCCTCACACCTCACCCAGGCGGGAGAAGTAATTCGATGATTTTCCCCACTTAAAAAAATATGCATACATTTGTGTGTATGGAACAAGTTTATAAAATAACATCTAAGAAAAACCCTACAAGTTTGTTGCTCTCTCAGGAATTTAGTTACAGCGACTGACGTACTTAGTACGTAGAACATTAAGTAATACCTACATATTATATTTATACATATAAGTCTCTGATCTTCTCCTTGTACTACGACTGGAATAATTTTATTTCCGAACGCCCTTTTATTCCCAAATTAGCACACAACAAATGTTTTATTTTTATGATCCCATGACAACGACAAACCTATTTTGGAAGAATTCTTTGTAAACAACCACCTTAATGTTTTGTATGTTCATACGTCTAATGTGAGAGTGGCGTATGTTATGTTCGTTATAGAAAGAAACCCTCCATAATCAATCTAGAAAAAAAACACCATTTTTTTTTCTTTTTTCTTAAGGGGGGAAAATCATCGAATGAGTTCACCCGCCTGGGTAAGATCGGAGGGAGTGTCAGACTCTTACTGATTAAAAAACCACCCCGTTCGTAGGAACGGGGTGGTGTGTGTGGTGCAGGAGTAGTCCTGCACTTCGAGACGGAGCCCCGGTAACCCGTTAAGTTCTCCGCGGCTCTAAAACAAACACCTTAATAATGATAACTACGAATTACTAGCTACTAATATTTACTGTATTTCAACTGCTTTGGAAACCAAAACATTTAAGTCTAAGTAACATGTATAAATTTTTGAAAACTATTAATTTAAAAAAAAGGTTAATTATTCTACCAGTAATTAAAATAAGTCTATCTTACTCCGGTTCAGGAATAACTTAGCCAGGTTTCACTGTATATCACCGGCTGTTCATTTATAAGGTAGAAATTGAGACGTTATCTAAAATAGCAGCAAGTTTGACCGCCTAGCTAAGCCAGATAGAGTTAGCTACGTACTTATTCATACCTAGTCTGGGGGAAGATGTCCGAACAAAGCCTATTTTGAGATCTAAACTTCGTAATGTGAAGAAGATTGGACGATACAAGACTATTAAAATCATCACAGCAACAATCCATCTATAGCACTACTTTTCTATACTCTTGAGAAAAACCGCTTTTAAGAAAACAGCAAAGATAATGGAGTATATATATATATTCCAAGATTCAAAGTCTGGCCTTTAAGTAACGATATGGAGGCGTGATGGATGAACCATATCAAAACTTTTCCGCCTGGCCAAAGTCCCAGGCTCCTAAGTAACCAGTGGAGAAACCTTCCAAGAACCAAGGCAAAACTTCTTATGACATAATTATTGATAGTGATATAAGTAGGCGGGGAATTGATTTTGTATTACATGATGATCGGCAACAGTAGTTTATGGACCATGATAAGTCTTAGTTATGTGACTACTAAGTTATGCCACTGAAATCATCAGCTAATTGTGTAGCAGACATCGAACAAGCTGTCTTACATTTCATAACAAAATTAATCAGGAGATATTGGAATTTGAGAATTAAACAGGGTGTAATAAATGACACAATACAAATAGTTCCATTCAGTGTGTTTTGAAACTTTCTCTCTAGAGGTAGTATTCTAATTTCTAATAATCCAAAGCAATAGGCAAATACAGTATGAACTGGGTATTTTCCACTTTCGATATTAAGCCATTTTTTATAGTTACTGTTTAATTGGTAACACGTCAATACGTTCTGATTTGTGCCAATAAGTTTACGGTCCGACAAACATAGGTACATAAAGTTCCTACTTATTAAGCAACCGAAAAAAATATTATCAAACAACTTACTATTAGATCAAAGTTTGAAGCGATACAGGTTTTTAACCAACATTAACATCTGATCAGAAAAATATTTTAAATAATTTCTCTAACATTTTTATGTTATAAATGTAGGATAGTGGTAAAGGTTGATACCAGGACTGGGTATTACCCAACATGCAAAAAACCCAACAACATTGCTATGATCATGAACTCGATAGTGTTTTTTAGTCGTTTGCCGTCAGTTTTTTGTAACTCCTCCTAGATTAAGAGTGAACTGAAATAATAATGATGATGAAGCTAAAAACAACCTATGTATAATAAAGTGTTGTTTGTGAAAATTGCCGACTATAAAGCAAGAGAAACAAGTTCGACTGGACCATTGCCACAATTTACTTGATTGAGATTCCATAAGCCATATTCGTTGGCCTCCACAGGGCATTGTGAAGACACTATTGAAAAGAAAACAACAGGTAAGTTGTAGCGTAACTTTTGGCGTGCTTACGAAAATAGGATGATGCATTTAACGATCCGAATACTAATAGTGCAAGTTACGGAATTTTACCCTTTCCATGACCATGACAAAAGTTTTTGAATGATCTGAGAAACTGCCAAGTTGCACAGGCCCTGTACACGCGGAATACTAAGTCAGGTTCGTCAAAACTCTTTGACCTTGTCAGAAGTTGCCTCGATCGAGCTCTGCCAGCCAACACCGCTTACTAATTACTAATATCAGTGGCGACCGACCTTCGGAATCTGTACTTAGTAGCAAAAAATATATTGCTTAATCGATCCAAGATTATGAATTGTTATTACTGGGTTAAAAGTTAAATAAATAATAACACTACGTACGGTACACCTGGAAACGTAATCTATGTTTAGTGCGAGTCTGCACAACAAACGGCCGTTAAGATACTTCCGAGTTTGCTGATATTCTCGAGCTAAGTAAGGCTACCCAGAAATAACATTAATTAACTATTCAAACTATAATTGCTTATGTCATAAGAGGTTTACTACACCCAAATATATAGTGTTAGAATATTCAGTATTCATTTGCTCACTGGAATCCGACTGGATTCTTATGAGGTGTTATAATCGTTGTATATATTGTTAACATACAGGTTGTATAATTGTCGTAACCTTGTAAGTGGCAAGTCACAGGGAGCTTAATAAAAATATCGGCATCGCGACTGCCAAGACCTTGCTGTTTATCAATTTTTATGAAAACCAAGTATCATGAACTGATGATGATGTTTCAATAATACGTTCAAATATTTTAACTAAACAGGCAAATAATTGGTGCAAGTACCAACACTAGTAAATAAAAATAGTATTTTTGTTGTAGTGTCATTGAAGTACAGATACTTGACATGAGATCTTGAGCAAAATGTAGAGCTAAATAATTTTATTCGAAGTGCATTGAGTCATGTACTCATGTGTAACTTATGTCCGCAAAACAATATCTACGGCTTATGTGATTGCTACTTTTTGTGTTGCATTGATTACTTATTTACACGTTCGTTTTTATAATGCCTTTATAATTGCTTACTGGAAACTGAAAATTACCACATCAAGAAGCCTTTTTTGCATGTATTCTGAATGAGAATTGACCTTTACGTAAGTTTAAGGTAAGTAGACTAGGCGAAGTTTTTCTATGAAAAGTCGAGAATTTGTTATGTGTCAGGCATATTTACGTATGTCATAAAGTGAGTATTAGTACTTTCGTGTAAATAGGTGTACGTTCTGTTAACCGTAACTCGATCAGACAGGTTTCCTTATGTATATGTAGTACGCATACAACAGCAAATTTATCTTCATTGTGACTTATTACGTTTACCGTTCAGTCTTACATTTGAAAAATAAAATAAATAGACGTATAGTTCAGTTCTAGCGGTACCTATTCTATCTACCTACATTTTGGAAGCAATTGCTTCTAACGAACTGACCAATATTCATACGTGATTATTGTTATCTTGGACGTGCTACCAAGAAATAACTGTAGCACTTAGGTATCTAAAGTAAGGAGTTACTTATGTTACTCTTTTCATAGGTTCAAAAACTTTTATGCAAGGTGATATTATTTATCTGACAAAACATATTTAGAATAGCTAATTTATATAGCCAGGTAAGCCTAGCAAATATTTTGTACTAAAATTAATTGTTAGGTAAACAATTTACATAAGCCAGTAATTGGTTGGGATCTTTAGTGTACCGCAAATAGATGCGTATGGACCTCGAAACATAAATAAAGCTGAAAAGAAAGTACCGAACTAGGTACTTACATTAAGTATAATTTTCTTGAATTCTCTTGGAATTGAAATCGAATTAAATTAACGGAAATCAAGTGGTCATAACTCATAAGCATGATTGAATAAAGTTTTAATCGATTGGTGCACGCGTCACGGTTACTTTCGCCGCCTTTCGTTGTCAGGGCCAAGCGAGCTGCGGCTGCGATCAGACATTGAATCGATTCTAGTTCGCGCAGTACAAGTAGCATTCATCACCGCGCCTGGCGAGGTCGACTCTAGCGTCGACGTCGTGATCCTCGCTCTCTTGTTAGCTATGCTAGTTAATAACAAACTTTCATTAGTTTTCGACGTAAACATGCTACGGTGAGAACGGAGTTATTTTCTACATTAAACATATACAAGGTGCGCGTCACAATAGACGGACGACTAGCGAGGTGCTATTGTTAATGTATATTGTGTGGTTACGGAGCATCAGTGTGTGATTTCGTCATGTAGGAACGGGGCGCTCGGACAACGTTCCGAACAGCTGTTTCATCCGAGCTGTGTACCTTCGGGCTCCGGGGCCGCTGCGCTCTGTTCCACCGTCAAAGCCTCGTACTCCACAAATGCAGGTCCCACTTACTTGCAAAGGATCCTCCAGAAACATCCGAAACTGCTGCCGTTAGGTACTTCACCGGCGTATGATATAGTCATGTTTGGTACAGCTTAACACACTATAAAATTAATATTTATTTATACACACACACGTTTGTTGGCGCGAGCTTGGAACGAGACACACGCGGAAAATTAAATACGTTTTAGAAAGTAATAAAAAGTTTGTTGGCGTTAGTTACTAGGGAAGGCGAAGGGAAGTATTAACTAAATAGTGCACTATAATGTCACATTCTGGTGATGTGTTATGCACTCTGCCTTCCCCGTACTGTAGCAAGGCATAAAGGAGGGGCGCGCGAGAGCACCGTCCACAGAGTAGCGTCAACTGTGACTGATGAATGATACCTTGCTCGGCATGTTGTTCAACTTACTCGCTCGCTGTTTGCTCATGCGTGATAAACGCGGCACGGCGCGCGGAGGCGCGGGCGCAGCCCCTCTCGCAGGTTCTATACCAGCCTTGCTCCACGTCATCACGTTTGCCGCTAGATGGCGTTAGAAGTTATTTTTATTAGCCTCTCAGTAAAAACTTGCATTTTGTTTATTATACCGAGTCACATAGTTATTTTACTTCTGAACATGATTATATTCGTTAAAGGGCTTTTAATCACAAGATTAATCACAGGCTATTATTGACATTGCACTTAGTTTTTTGTCCGCCCGCGTGCACAAAGAAACGAATACTGTTAAATATTGATGGTATCAGGCTGAATATTTATTCAACATGGCCGAAAACAGGTATTTAATTTAAAGTGCCTTTATTTAAAAGTTGTCGAATGCAGTGATATTCATTTATCTAAAACACTTTGAAATGATATTTTTGCTGACAGATCTTGCAGTTGTACTTATTTACGTATTCGTAACTGGTGTATACACTGGTGTATAAACCTCTATAAAACAGTACATACCTAGGTACATACGAGGCATCGCTTTTTTCCCATGGGTCATATAGGGGAATATTACCTACCTACATAGATATAACACCCACTTGGGTGTATTGTATATACAGGGTGTAACTGGGTGCTACTAATTATACAAAGGTAGGTAAGTTCTAGTGATTTAACGAATGTCATATTTTAGACATTAACTAAAACGAATAGTGACTTTATAATTTGGACCATTTATCTAAGGCTTTTATGACAGGTTATTAATACGCGAGTACACTACACGCGCGTTTGTAATTGCTTGCATTTACATCTAGTCTGACTAAAATAGATATCAAAATAGTAGTCAAATGAAAAAAATGAGCGAAGAGACAAATCTTGGTAAAGACTTTGGTGATTCATCATTAGGAACAGAGTCCCCATCGAGGCCATCGATCTCAATTGTGGGTCAATTGCAATTTGGGATCACCGGTTCAAAATTTCAAGCTCTTTTGTTTTTTCTCATTTTAAGTCTTTGAAGAAGAGGTAACAAAATAAGATATTGAAAAAAAATATAAATTAAAAACCCAATATTATAATTTGATATTATTATCACTGTAAACTGCGCCACGTGAGGTCATGAGGCCTAAGCAAAAATATATAGGTAAGACATGGTTCTTAGAATCGCAATATCTCAGAAATCGTAACACCTAGAAAAAAGAAATACGAAACACCACCTAGAAATAAGAAATATAATAATTTTTGTAGACAATTTTAAGAACTGTGATTTAGTTTATGGAAACCTTACCAATTTTGATAAGAACATCAAGAATTTTAATTTGAAGAAGAAGAAAGAAGTTCTATGTTGACTTTTGACGACTTTTTCTTAATGGTAATTCCAATAGGTCTCCACCAAAATTTCAAAAGGCTACTTTGACAGGACCTATAACTTAACTATTTTTGGGTCAACTTTGATTTGTTTGTAAATTATTTGTTCTAATAGGATAGCTAGATGTACCTACAGGTTATAGTTTTATATTAAAATGGGGTTTGAATTCTGGTGATTATTTAATTTTAGTATTTTTGCCTGTTATGCGTTAATAAATCAGGTGATCCTACGTTAAACATAAGCCTTTATTTTTATGACATTCATATTCGCAATATTAGCATTGAAAATTGCGAATGCGAATGTCAAAAAATGTGCGAATATTTGGAAATTATAATTCTTACAATTATTATATTGAATATTCGTTACATCAATAGTAGGTACTAGGTGCTTGAAGAAAGCCGCTGGATACAGGTAATTCTAACCAGTCGAATTGCAGACTTTGGATCAGCAGTGGACGTCTTATGGATGACATGATAATGATAAGGTGTACGTGGACTTAAACCTCATCCACCCTATTCTACTTCTACTTCTACCCTATATGTTATGAGTTAACGTTAGCCATCAATCGATAAATCAATCAATCAATCATCGATGAATAAAATTGTTTAAAATAAGTTATTGATCTCCAATGATGATGTCACTCTGCACAACAATTTCCTGAAAAAGTCATTGTTTTTATGGAATAGGAGCCAAATTAGCAAACAGATCACCTGATGGTGAGCGCTTATTGCCGCCCATGGACACCCGCTACACCAGAGGAGTCATAGGTGCGTTGCCAGCCTTTTAAAAAGAAATACGCTTCTTAAAGGTTTGAAGGTCGATTCTGAAATACGGCTGACGACAGATCATTCTACAATTTTGCTGTGCAAAGCAGAAAGTTACGAGAAAAGCGCACAGTTGTGGCCTGGCAACCATCTATCTACATAATGGGGATGAATATGCTATCATTTGTTACATATGACGTTGTTGGACTTCCTGTGTGAGAATCAGAAGAATAGGTACAAGCTAGGACCTATGTTTGTTTGTTTGATTAATTGAACGCGGATAAATCTCCGGAACTACCTACTGGTTCGACTTGATAATTCTTTTTGTGTAGTACAGTCCATTTATTGAGGGAGAGAATATAGGCTATGAGAGATGTCTCAGCGTGATGACGCTACAATCAATAGGAGCCGATTAGCGCGTGCAACCACGCTGAGAATAACTCGTAGCAGATAGACGTAGTGACGACTTGATAGACTTCTATGTTTATTCTATTAATACCTGTAAATAAAACATAAGATACATAAAATCACGCCTCTTATCCTCGGAGGGGTAGACAGAGGTGCACATTGTGGCACTTAATACTACTGTACAATGTAACACCACCTTTTCACCATTTATATTATGAGTCACATGTAATGGGGGTTGAGCCTATTGCCATATACCGGGCACCATTCCAGACTCCCTGCTACTAATGAGAATAAAAAAACAGTAATAAAACACTGTAAACTGTAAATAAAACACTGTTTGAAATAAAATAATACAACAACATATTTTGAATTACATTTCGACTATTGAATAGAAGACATAAACTCTTGCTTGCACAGGACAGCCTACAGCCTACTACAGCCAACAGCGTTATCGATTTTTACTATTTACATGAGGGCTTACTGACCCTAGGTACTGCTCTAGTTTACCAGCTGAAGCTTTCCCAAGCGTTGCACTAAGGTTATACCTATTTAATTCAAAGAAATGAGACCTACTTTAGTTTAGAAAAATAATATTAACCATTGCATCTTTTATTCCCCCGGAGCTGAGAGATGCAAATGCCTGCTTTTGTGCTAATAATATTTCTGTGGCTAATACTAATCAACAGTTGCTTCTACACCTTAGATGAGTTCCTGATAATTAAGATATAATAAGTGAAATATTAAGTACGTTAGTTCTTTAGTAAGTCACTAAAATGATAGGTATGTTAATAAAGCAGAGAAATAATAATAATTTGGTAAGATAAAAGTATATGTTATCCTATTAATAACCCGAGCGTCCGCCGCGTAGCGTTCCGCGCCCGCCTCCAACAGCCATCAGACCACCACGGATGGGGCCCAATAGGGCTGATGCCGATACGGAGCCGCAGAGGACTTAACGGGTTGCCACCGGCTCGAAGTGCAGGAGTAGAAACGGGGTGGACCCAGGTGGAAGAAGTAATTCGATAACTTTGCCCCTTAAAAAAATCCTATTTGTAAGAATTTTGTAATTAGTTCCTATTAATTTGTGTGATCTTTGTGTGATCCACAAATTGTTGTTTCGGGTCTGGGTGTTATTGTGTATGTGAACTTGTATGTTTGTAAACGCACCCACGACACAGGAGAAAATCCTAGTGTGGGGCAACGTTTTTTTTTAAAAAAAAAAAAATTGTAACTTTTTAACTTTGTTAGTAATTAATACTTATTGTAACATTCCACTTTTTTAAATAGGCCGCAAAAAGATCGCATCCCATCCCAATCTGCTGCTATGTATGATACATAATAATTTAATTATTTAATGTTACGTTCATATTGCTAGAGATCACACTCCCTGAGTATGTGATGGGCTGACTGCTCGTATTGCAACTCTACTGTCGAACATTGGCACCATGGTGAATCATGAAGTTTAAATGAGAACAATTTGCTCTTAAAATTGCCGTGGCCAGTAAGAAATTGGGCAACACAGTGATCCACCTCCAACCATGTCCTCTCCAGCCGCTCATGCACTTAATAGAAGATGCCCATCTACCCTGCCATTCAGTTATAAGCTCATCCCAAACGTCCGTTATTGGCTTATACAATCTAGCAATTTAATTTCTATCACGTTGTGCTAGAAAGCTTGCTGACAAATTAAGTCTCGCACTGTAGTAAATAGCAGCACGTCACTGCACCTCAAGATCTACCGGAAGTACGCCCGCGAGCACAGGTAGGGCTTCAGTGCTAACCGTCCTATAAGCCTTACATAGGAAAATCAAGGCTAGACGCTGGCCTTGAAGAAGTTTTCGCCGTACCGCGCCTATTGTGGCCCTATCCGCCCAGACAAGTGCCCCGTAGCACACGCATCCCAGGTAGGTTGCTCCGTATATGATCCTGAGCGTAAGAAAAGAGAGACCCCAGGTGGCTATTGAAATTCGCAACTCCTTTCGTTTTACGGAAACGTTGTTAAGTTTAATAGACGGCTACGACTTTAGATTTCCTTTAAGCAATAGCTGGTAAGTTTTATGGGGTGCAAAAGTCAAGCGATTTCGTTCGCCCCATCGCGAGATCCTACTGAGACAGTCCTTAGCCAAATTCTCCAGTCCGGCGCGGGTATTTGATTGTACTAGCAAAAGGCCATCATCCGCATATCCAGTCAAAGTACAGCCACAAGGAAGGGGAATCGCGAGCAAATAATCAAATCCTAAATTCCATAAATACGGGCAAATAACCGAGCCCTGAGGACATCCCATTGATAAAGACTTCGACCAAGAACAATGACCAAGCTTCGGTTTAACGGAACCGTGAAGGAAATACGTGTATATTAATTTATATATGTTACTAAAACAGCCTCGACCTTTCAGTTTTAAGAATAACATTGGCCACCATGCGTTATCAAAGGCGCCGGATATGTCCAGAAAAATGCCTACTATATACTTGTGCTCAGATGAATTTACCATAGATCGGACAGAACCGCGTCGACAGTAGACTTTCCTACAGTGAAACCAAATTGATTGTTGTGAAATTTTGGTCCACCTGGCAGTAAACGAGGAACGATAAGTCTCTCAAGTAGTTTCCCTAAAGATTGTAAAAGCGTGATAGGCCGGTATGACTTAAGAGTGATCGGGGGTTTATTTCCATTCTTGGGGATTATGCGAATGAATCTACGTCGCCATACTCGAGGAAAGACACCTTCCACGATACAACGGTTAAATACAGTTGGGATCGCATCAGCCGCGGATTTACAGGCTTCTATTATCATTTTATTTGAGACTGTCTTCACCAGATGATTTATTCAAAGGAAAACCTTTAACAATAGTTACGAGCTCGTTGAAGGACGGTAGATCAGACACTGGTGATTCAGGCGGTATAGCTGCCCACGCGCTCACTAAGGTGGATCCGTGTCTGTCAGACACGATACAAAATCAAAGAATTATCAATTTTGTCTTTCCACTAGTTGTGTACTAATTGTGGGGCCACAATTTGAGCTGCTATAGGTACTATAGCTATAGCAAGCAAACTTTGCTTGCGAATTAACTGTGCAGTTTTAACAGTACCTACAGTTAAATCGTAAATCCATATACAGCCAACACACCTTCAGTTATAATTGTACAGTTCAACTGTTTCCTGTACACACCTTACTGCACAATTTAAGGATACACAAGGGGACAAATGCCCCTCAGATATAGTCTTTGGTAGCCCTTCGTTTACTTTGGTCGACGTGTCTGGCAACATCAACGTGACTGTAGATATAGACATAAGTCGCGCGTTGTCACCTTAAATGGCAGGCGACATCGGCCAGCTTCGCTCGACATGTGGCCGATACATGTCGGGGGGCATTTGTTCCCTAGTGTATTCTTGGTTTAAATCGTAAGGTGCGTAGGTTAGTCACTCGCATGATTTTTGGATATAGGTAGGGACGGGTTGCTAGTCTACAATAAAAGACAAATTCACATGAAATTTTCTTACATGTATTGTTGTTTAACTTTTAATTCCTTACCCACAGGTTTCACTCCTCCTAACTGCCTATACAAAACTAACTATTTGTAAAAACTATGAAGGAATATTTCATATTTTCAAAGTGAATGTTAGGAAGATAGGGTACATTTGTAAAACAAATGTTGCATTAAGCAAGGGTCATTCGGATCATAATCGTCTTTGTAAAATTAAAATCAACATTTTATACAAGTGTCTATACAAAGCTAGGCAAGGTGAGATTCAAACTCCCTGTTTTGCGCATACAGTTTATTCAGGGCATATAGAGTAAGCGACAGATAGTTATTGACTCTCAGGGGTGTTAAGTACCTACCCAAAGATACAGGCGCAATGAAAATTGTAATAATATCGGCACAAAATGTTCATAGTGCCACCATCAATACATAATAATTATAATCACTCAAAAATTCGAGACGTTATCGAGGAAAATTGTTACGTGTCATACATTTTATGCTACAATTAGCAATTGACTGCAAACATACGGTACATAGGTACTTGACCGCTTTTAACGCAGAATGATCGAACACATCCAGTTGGTATTTTAATTCTCAACTTCTTGAACGACTATTACTTATGTATTGTTGACAACAATCATATTTAGAAACTTTGGACCTATATAATAACTTTTTCGTTGCATCTATTTATAAGCCCCCAAGCGTCCGTAAATATTTATCGCTAACTGTAAATATGTAGCCCTTAGTGCCTAGTGGATTGAACCGCAATGCGGTAATAAGTGTGATGACTAAAACTTTCTATATAAAGGTAAAAAAATTGGACACATTTTTTATAGCCCATGACGATAGGTTTCCTACTTCTACGTACAATTGTGTACTATCGACAAATTCAAATCTTGATCCACTTCTTAAATTTTAAAATCAAAAAACAATCGAATTTTGAATTTCCTTTTGTAAATACCTATTTTTTGTACATGTGTTGTGTTGTTTTGTCTAAATTTTGTTTTGTGTTATTGTTACTCTTATAAATTTTCCCAATTATTATATTTGTATGATATAGGTACTTACGTTATGTCTAGGGGATTATATTATAGCATGTAGGTGTATCTTTTGTTAGGAAACAAACAAAAAAATAAATTGACCCCGTACTGAAGCTTACGTATTTTTATTAATTTCAAAATATAGAGAACAAAAAATTATTAGATTTTATATATAGGATTTTGTTTACATCATTTACCGCCCTCGTGTTTGAGTTTATATAAAAATGGGAGGTTAATAACAAATAATTTTCAGGGTAATTAAATGGCATATCAAGACATTATTAGAAAAATGTTGTTTTGTACGGGAATTTTAAATTAATAATGAATAAGCAAGAAAATAAGCAAAGTGGGTCATAATAAAAATTTGTCGATGGTACCCAATAACAAAATCAATTTTCAATTTCAATTTATGAAAATCTTGTCATTTTGTCTTATATCATCAAATTATCCAATAAATAATGTATTTTTTTTTCTTTTTTATCATCATCCCCAGATTACTGGGTAATTTGAAAAAAAAGTAAAGAATTATATTACTTCTGTAGAATATTTGATCTAAATTTAAAACGGTATTGTATAACATTACAATTAGTCATCCTGGCATAACGTAATTTATGCCTATGAAACGTAATTGATACGTCGATTTCATTTTTATTCAAAATAAATATCCGTCAACTAACATTTCACTTGTAAACATCGTCAAATTATTATATTTATAATTCAAATTTATAATTATGAGGACGGCATTCCAATTATTTTGAAAGGAATGTTTTGTTACATTGTGTAATATATTTTAATAATTGTAAAATACCTAAATAATTTATGAAAAGAACCTCCCCCATTTTAACGACGGTTTAAAGTAATAGTAAAAACAAATATACACACACAGGGATATTGAAGTACTCATTATTATAATATGCAACAAAAATTCGTTGTTAAATGGATAGCATAAAATTTTGTTTTATTTGCAACAACAAGTTCAATACAATATAATAAATTATACATATAATTCACAACATCTAATATTCCCAGGGTTTTAACGTTCACTCTATAACTTCATCTATTTAAATGTAATGGAGTAAATACAATCATTACATGAATCCACATTAATAACAAATTGAATCTTTATTATCTAGGACCTAAACTATGATACTATTACATATAATATTCTCGAGAAAAGGTCAGAATGGCTGAATCAAACAAACACAAAGACAAAATAAAACTATCATTCATGATCAAGTCTAAATTTCATACAAATGATAACTAGGTATATTAAAATACAAAATATATAACTTAAAGTTCTTCAATGTCACACTTTATTTTGATATATTAAAAAGCAGAACCGATGGCTCATTGTTTAAAAGAGACTGACCTCTGATTTTGTTTCTTTTCAGAGTAGCCTGATAACATCTGGTTTATTTTTATAATATTGTTTATTGATAATAAATAGAATTCGATTTGTTAATAAAATATATATCAAAGTTGAACAATAAGCTCAGGATGAAAACACGTACCATACCCACTAGTCATCATGTGAAGTTGTTCTGTCCAGATATTAAAATATTTGCATATGAAGTCAGACTTATGAAACTCCTTGCATCATTATGAAGCATTCGTGGTAAATAAAGAAATCCCTAAACTAACGTGAAGTACAAATTGATGAAAATATCCTATATGCTAATGCCAGTTTCTCAGCATAGTCTATTTAAACAGTTTCATATAATATGAAAACGTAATAATGTAAATAGAAATATTTCACATGTAGTGACCACTGACAACATCAAGATCAACAATGATAGTAACGACACAAATTATCTTCCTAATATTTGATTACACGTGAATTATGTCCAGGTGGTTTATTATTGATTACATAATTATTTGAGTTAGCACAGGAAATTCATTGGAGAATAACAATAATTGTAACTCTGTGTTTTAATCAAATTACAGCTGCCAGCATTGTTGGCTTCACTGGTTGTCAACTAGAAAATACTTAACTAAAGAGATGTTCTGTGGCCCTCTCAATTTCCCATTCAAATGTTGAAAGTGCTACCCTAGCTTGATCTTCATCAATGCCCATATCTATTAATACTTGAACCTTCTGATTGAATTCCCAGATGACGGTAGGCCCTCCAGCATAGACATTGGTCCAGTGACTGGCAGTCAGATTAAACAGCCGTATATCTTCACGGTATTGCTTAGCCACCACAGCATCCTGCGGGTCGTTCGGCTCTGCGGCTGACAGAAGAGCCTGGATCGAGAGCAGCACTGTACGCAGCGTCAGGGCAGCCGCCCATTGATCTTTGAGTATGTCTAAGCATATAGCGCCTGTTACCGACGACACGTTAGGGTGCCAGATCTTTGTCATAAAGCGAATCTGGAAATATAATTACTTACAATCAGTGATGACCCAAACTTATAGACCTAGATGTCGTTCTTCTTCATGCAACAGTTAAAACAGTAGGGTAAGAAAACAAATTCGCGAGCCGTTGTGAGGTTTCAAAAATTTTCTAACAATCCAGAAGGTGGATAGATTTTATATCCCATCTTACCGTATCATTCATATATAAAATATTTCGCCTGCTAACGCTATATAGGTACGTAGATTGCGAATGCAAGTCACATAGGTAAGTATTAAGTAATATACGATTCTATTAATGAAACCTGTCAGCGGGTGAGATGATGATACCCTTCGCAGGGAAGAGAAAATACAGCAATGCTCATGTGTGAACGCAATCCAAAATATCTTAATTTTGTTCAATGCTTTGTCTTACCTTTGGCGGATTGAATGGGTATGTCTCCGGCACCTTGATCTCAAGTAAAAACGTGCCACCTTCGTATGGTGTGTCCGGAGGACCAGCAATCTCGCCTTGGAGCTCCGTCCAGCTGTCGTTAATCAACTCCAATTTAATGCTACCGCCGGCTACCTGAAACAAATAAACTACTTTCAAATTGGATGTAAAGTACCAGAATGTACTGGTACCAATAGCACCTGGTTGTAACGGTTCATGAAAATTGTGGATTATTATAATTTAATGTTTTATGTTATTAAGAAGAACTGACTGAACTGTTCAGATTTATACCGTTGATAGTTCCGAAGTATCAAGTGGGATTGACGCGGTTGTCTAAAGAAATGACAATTCGACTTGAGAGCAAGTGATTAAAACCTTAAAGTTGGGTAGCGTGCTACTTTGGAAGCACACCCAACTTTACTACTGGTGACAGGCCGCATGCAGCTGGTGACTTAAATCGATCGTGTAATGTACCTAAATGAGTGATTCAATTCAATCTCTTCCTGCAACAGATACAATCTCATCCTGCCACTGGGCGCCCGGGCGACCTCTACTTCTCACTTCGCCGTGCTTTCCTTTTTTTTCTCATAATTAAGACATGCATATTTAAAAAACAATCAATTTTCCCACTATTACTTTGGATTCTTTTTTATATGCTACCTCTACATATTTATTAAAAAAAAACAAGTGGCTTGAAACCCAACAACTACTAGCAACTCTTTTTCAAGAATTATTATTAATTCTTGAAAAAGAGTTGCTAGTAGTTGTTGATAATTTCAATTTATTTTCGAACAACAAACGCACTGTAAAAGGAAAACAAGTTGAAACACAATTTATTTTAAAAGAAAATGTTATTCAGTCATATGGTTTCGTGTTGTTTCCCAACTTCATAATTTTCCAGACAGTACCTACCTATGTAAATGTAGTACAAATATAGGATTCGTCTAAATGCGGAGTCAGCTTTAGCTGGTGGTTAGGCTGGTGCCTATGTAAAAAAGTTACGAAAAATAAATAATAGTATTAATATTGAACATGCAGGATGACTGGCAGAGAATGCTGTTAGCATTAAGTCTTCCTTATGCTATTATATAAAACTTAAATAAATAAAATATATGCAAAAATGCATGTGTACTGTTATAGATGTAAAGTATTGTTCAAATCAACAGGCCTAACAGTGACTGGTGACTTGATTTAAAAATAGCGGAAAATCGGTAATCGGTAATTAATTTGTTTAAGAAACAAATTAATTATCCAAGGAGTGGGGCTCTATCACCAGAAATACCGTATTTAACAATGAACCTAAAATAGTTTACTGACTATTCTATGTTAATTCCACCAAACACCTACTCAAGTCACAAATTCGCATCTAGCCAGTGAATAAAATTACTTCTTTACATAAGTAAAGATACATATCTAGACTCCGTAGCTTCCATGTAAATATTAGAAGACATATTGCTCACACTATGCAACCTAGATAATTTATTGCCACATAAGTTGACGAACGAAATGTGCATGTTCAACAAAGTTCAACTACATGCAGAATTGACCAACACATGTTATGTTACAATGGTCAGGACAAACAATCTCAATCAAGTCAATAAATTGAGATGCACAGCCAATAAAGAGCTATTAAGTATCTATTTGCTTTAACAAATGATCAAGGTTAGGTTATATACTGTCAATTTAATGTTTTATGACAAATGTTCTTCCTTTCATACAGATAAATCAACCGTGTAGATAATTAGGCTTTTAATTAAAACACAGTCAACCTAAAATTGTAAAAAGCTCCATCTCTGCTAGTATCAATCACATGACCTAAACATGTTTACAAACAGGTTACAAACAAAGAAGACAAATACAAGTTGTATGTTCAGTGCCAAAAAACCTGACTTTGCATATTTAATACATCATTATGCGAATGTGAATATACAAAGGAAATATATAATCATTACGACTTCAGATGTGTTTACAGCTCTAAAAAGATATTTGCTAAATATAGGTAAGATTTTAAGATGGTGATCATACTATGTGTTAAGTACGAGCATCATAAGTTGTCAAACAAAACTGATCTATATATATATTATGGGGTACCTGAATATGTTCCAAAAAACAATTTAGCTACCCACACGGCTATGTGAAATAAAACAAAATAAATGTTGTAGAGAAAGATATTTTCAGAAATCATAACAAGTATCAAATTACTAATTAACACGTTCGAGGACAGAACGAGATTATACGTTATCGTTCGAAATTTTAATATGGCACAACGTACGATGACGTTCAAATAACATTTAAATTATACGGCAGAACGTTCATTTCCGATGAAAGTTCAAGTAAAAATTCTTTTGAATGTATCTTGTGTCACAACATATAAAATAGTACCCAATGTACTGTCACGTAGGGTAAGTTTAGAACTATTTCAAATAAGTGTCGTTGATAGTGTGCGGTTACGGTATTCACATATGCACAACGTGTTTATACGTCCCGCACTCCTATATTCAGCGCGGCTGTGTCACTGTGTATATTACTTTAATGCACATTAATGATTTTACAGAGTGACATTGATATTTAATGGGTTATTGTGTGTTTTTAGATGGATATAAGCGCAAAATAGGACACAAGATAAACATGTTTGATGATTTCGACACCTCCAACGAGGTGGATTCTAACCAAGATGCGTATACACGTTGACGTGATAAAACGGTTGTGTCATGATATGTTTAAAACATTATTTTTTTATAGGACACTACGTACTGATACGTCGTATAATTTTGTATAGACATTTACTGTGTCATTCTGAAAACCCGACTCAAGTGGTAGCGTCCTCGAACGTGTTAACCTCAAGGTGAAATCCCTGTGGTCGCTAGGTAAAATTATTCCCATTATTCCAGAGATACACACACATACAATTAAACATGTGGGTGTTTCATATGTATGTGGAATTATTTACACAGAAAAATCAACCTAGAGCTATTCTTGTTAAAATTCTATCCAATTTTGTCTATGACAAGAATATGACTTGAAATTTTCATCTTGAAATATATACACTTGACACTTTTAGTGTCATGTAGTATAACAAGCCAAAAATTTCTCAGCATGCCATTCACATGACAAATTTTTAAACATAAATAAAGTTTTATTATCTTTTCTAATAATGTTCATCGACTACTTCTCATTCTTATTAATTAATGTTTTTTTCTTTATATTTACATAGGATGGCAAACATGTATTATTCCAATTCTAAAAACTATATAAGAATGAATAACGTAATTTGATGCTGAGGGCACATCTTGGTGTTTTGATGTGGTGGTTTTTACAAACCTTTACATTATAATTTACCAATGGCACTAGTACTAAGCTCTAAGCATGTCACGTTCTAAATTTGTTAGGATTAAGACAATATAACATGTATTTTTTTATTACTTATGTTACTATACCTGAATATTTGTTTACTAATACCTTGTCTAAAGAAATTATAGTATTTTGTTTGTGTTTGATGTCCATAAATTAATAATCCAATTCATCACATCATCATTAAGGTTTAATAGATTTATTTTGATTTTATTCCAAATGTTAAGATATTGGAGGGTATATGAGATATGCTAATTAGATTCTAAAAGGAATAGATTTTGCCTACTATAATCGCTAAAGCACACACATGATATTAAATGTAGGCCACAATCATTAAGAGATTAGAATTAAATGGGTAGGATGCGAAAACAAATACAGCAAAGCAATGTAAAATAATTACATGTTATATTAATGATTCAACAAGCAGATGAAGGAGTATACAAATTGCGTAAATTATCATGCAGTTTTTAAGAAAACTAAATAAAAATATGCCAACAACAGATTGATAAAGGAGCGATAAAACATCACTACGACATAGAAAACGTGCTGAATCATTCACATCGCAAAACGAAACAAACACATCCAATCACAACATCATTGCAAATTTAAATTGGGATGAATCGCTTTACTTTCGAGCGCACTTTGTACTCGCATAGATCGATGTTCTCATAAAAATATGACATCTAACAAAACTGCAAGTAACTGCGGCCATACATATGTTTTTATGTAAACACCATAAAAATGGGTTAAGCTCACCTCTTCACTTTTCATGACCTCCTTGAATTCTCGTTTTATGCGTTTCGCTGCTATATTTGCCATTATTACAAATTAAATTTTATAAGAACAGATACCGAGACGAAAGAGAACCAACAATCTAAGCGGGCAGGCACTCGGACAGGCAGAATGGCAGATAGCGAATAGATACCAAACCAATGTAATGTTGCCAGATTCAGTTAAAATATTCTACTTAATCGTGTTTGACAGTTATGACGTTTGGTAGAATTTTGTTAGAATATGGTATAAAATAATATTATCTATTATTATTGATGTATTATTTTAATTTCATTCGATAATAAACAATAAACGCACATATTTAGAAGAAGCAAAACATTTATTGAAAATATTTTCTCAGCCAATGTTACTTTTAGTAAGTAACTATTTACTCTATGGACAACAATTGTAGTATTTTATAGTTCTCGTAATATATTTAGAAAACAAGTTAAAAGAACCTAAGTAGGTACCTATGACATATTATTTCTGTTGTGAAACTAAAAAAATAGACCAGAATTAGTCTTGTTTATGCTTGTTTACTTCCGCTTGGATGAAACGTCTTTTCATTCATTATTTTTGTCTCTGTTCGTTCATTTACTCTATGGTTGATTTATTTTGGTTCGATGTTCATTCGCCTGAAATTTCGGCATAGACTACGCTTTCATTGGTCTTTACAAACGTACTTCAAAGGGCTTTATGCTATGGTCGATTAATTGAAGGTGTTATATTATTTTGTTTCGTTGTGTAAAATTTCTATCCATAGTATTATAACTAAACGTGAATATAGAATGATGTCTGTCGAACGATTTCAGTCGTGAATGAGCTTTTTGTTTTAATTTGAACAAGTTATGGCCAGTGTTTTAAACAGTGTAAGGACGAAGTTATGTTAATTTACTCCCCATGTCACCGGGTTCCACCTATGTACCTGGCACTTGAAGGTGCGTTGCATGATGTTTATACAATATTTGTGAACTTTACTTCATTATGATATTTAAAACTTGGAGCTTTTCTGTTAGAATGCTAATACTTGAGGCCTTTGTTTCATTCAACTCTCGCGCTAACATAAATAACTTGCGTTTAGGGCTATGAAGGGCCCTCCTTGTACACGAATACATTCTACTTTATGCTCGATGATTGATATGCTGGCCTGCATGTAGCTTTAAACGATTTACAAATTTAGATTTTCCTATTTGTTAATTTTGTGCTGTTAAATTTGTTTTTGCGTTAATTATTGAGTGCTTTCACGTTAATTCCGAATAAATAAAAGAGATGTTATTAGTCTTTCATTAGTTTGTTAGCATCTATTTGTTTGACTTCACTATAAACTGGTGAGAGTAACTTCTTTCAAGGAATGTACACCAATTTATAAGTAACCTCATCAAATTTAGGTCACTAAGGTCTTACGTTTGTCTGTTCAAATTGTTGTTTACGTATTGTCTTTAACCTATTACCGTTATAAAAGGTCTTTAATGAACAAATCGAGATGACAACATTTCAATGTTTGTATATAATAACAGATTGTGTACTAATAACCTATCTACCTACGCAAGATAATGTTTACGTAAAAAAAGTGTTTTTTTTATAGAATTATACAATATACAAAGAGAGTGTTTTGATTTATACATTTATAAGAAAATATCCGTGCTTACTTAGTCAGGACGCATTACGCCAGTATGAAGGTGATTGCTATCAGTTACCATAATTTCGTAGCATTGTTTTATACACTAACTGCACTCGAAAGTCGATGTAACCTTTATTAAAAACATTCGTTACCTACCTACTGCAATGCAAGATCATTATCCAGGGCTTTAGGATAGCGTCAAAACAGTCATAATATGTTGCTGCGTATTTTGTAAACTTTGCTTCATTCCAATAGGAATTCTCCATTTGATACCAAACTAATTGGTCCTATCATGTCTAATTATTAATTAGCATAGTAAATCCAAATTCACAAAAAGGTACATTTCTAAACGAAATTGTATTGAAACGTAACTTGCATTACCCCTGCCTGCGTAAATAAAAAGCATGATCTTCAGTTCAGTTCCCGTAGTTATCTAGAAAACTCCCGTTGTATTCCTCTCTAGCTGTTTCCTCGCGCTTGACACCTCTTGATCATAGCGTGATGTTTTTTTATAAATAGCCTTCCTCTATAAATTGACTATTTGACACGCAAAAGTATTCAATGCTAACCAGTAGTTCCGTAGATTAGTGCGTCCAAACGAACAAGCAAAATCTTCTGCTCTAAAGAACATTTTCTCGCACGATTTTTTTTTATCTACCTAATTCTATAAATGAAAGTGTGGAGGGCGTCGTAGATAGTGGAATCCAAAGCGTGAGTATCTGATAGGACCCATACGAATGTATTAGCTGCGACCACGAGGTTTTCCTATTCATTTTTCCTATTACGATGAGTCTCTCCAAGTTGTTTCTATCTTTCCTTGCAATGTGACCAAAATATTCAAAGACTCTTAACTTGCCCCTCAATGACAATTGTGAAAACGGTTGTGAGAAGATTTTCAAGTTCACGTAGTATTGAAATGTTAGTCCGAAATGCTATCCACGGAATACGAAATTAGCCGTCTGCTGTTTTCAGTGACCGTGTCCATATCCACCACCTAGACCTTTTTGATTAGAATCTCTTTGGGCAATCTCCATCTCTTTGCTTATCTTCTCCATTCAGTATAGGAGTGTTACCACTTCCGACTCATTTGCAAACGGGGTAGCGTCATCGCCATACCCATCAAGATTAATTAGCGTACTCCAATTCGAAATTTTCGGTAGCAGGAGCACGAGTACAGAAATAAGCATACTACGTTGAATGGGAATAGATTCACCTTCTATGACAAACAAAACAAAATAACTATCGAAAAGTAGGTGTTATTTTTAATTTATATAACTTTACTGAAACTAACCTGAAAACAGTAGTAGAAATGACCACATTTTTTAGAGTACCTGACTTTACCACCTACAAACTTCGTACCTACTTCTGATTACCCGTAATGACAACCGGGACCGGGGTGGTCGTTAGAGGTCGTGCCACGTTGCGCCGCACCACTAGCTTTAAGAACCCTATCAATTATTACATTTATATTTGATTTATTCAATGTTATCGTTGTTGTATATATTTGCTATACGACCACTGCAGAACGGCACAGGTTAGTTGCATAACAGGTATCCTCATTCAGTTTACCCTGCACACTTTGAAAAAGGGGTTTGATATAATAATGTCGTGTTTGACTACGCAGTTTATACTCACATGCTTAGGAAGATAATAATAATACCTATATCATTGCTGGCACAAGTTTTGCATTCACTTTCCGTTTACGTAGTAAATAAGGTAGTTGACTAATATAAGAAACTAAGTGTGAGAGAGCCATGCTTTTGCACGAATGGGCCGGCACGACCGGAGTGCTACCACGGCCTCACAGAAAACCGACGTGAAACAACGTTTGTTTCCTCTGGTTACAGGAGACCCAATTACCCCATCCGCATCCCCAACAATTCTCAAATTCCTAACCATTTAAAAATTAAAGGCCGGCTACGCACTTGTAACGCTTCTGGTGTTTCAGGTCTCCTTGGGCAAAACAAATATCTAGACACGCGGTAGCGTGTCAAGCCAAGTTCGTTTAAAACTACGCAACTTTAAAATTGTAGATATAATAAAAATATGGAGTAAGGACTCAGTATTTAATACACTTTACCTAGGTAAAATGTTTATTTATAAGATATTATTACATACAATAAGAAAACTACGCGTTTACAAAATTAATGTGATGTGTATGTGCTACTAGTATAATTTATAAAAAATGCATTAACTAGTTAGAGAAAAGTACGATTTGCCACCCCACTCTGTTGTGCCTCTTAGCAAATGTGTTACTACTTAACGAACAACGGCTCGATGTTAACCAATCTCTTCTTATTAACATTTTCACCAGGGGAGATCCCTGCTGAATATTTTTCATGCAAAGATTACAAAATATTTTGAATATTCGCAGTAGCATCCATGCGCAACAGTGCAGCTTTTCATAATTCAATATTGGGCAAGAATACTTTTATCTGAAATATTTTCTCAGAGTTGATATTAAAAATGTTTTCAATCTTTACAATGTCAATGCAGAATACCATATAAGTATTTGAATTAAAAATGCAACGTAAAGGAAGAGATATCGAATAAGATCCTTTGAACATTTCAGTTCAGATTTTCTAGTGCGAATATTTCGTAGCTCGAACATCCAATAAAAATAGTTTTGCGACTTATGTCAGCATACAAAACTCACATTGCCTAGATATTTATATTACCTATAATATCGTTCCAATATGTTTCTTACAGCCGAACATTTCGATTTTTTAATTATTATCATCTTAAACTAACTTGCTGACAATATTTTATACTTCACCAATTCTGCGATTAAAAACTTTTCACTCATGAGATCAACACAAGTTTATAACACGTAAGTGGCAATTTGGTTCTTAAAATGATCTGTTCGACTAATCACGACTCGTTTGTTTAACTTTTAAATATATAGGTAGTCAGATAATGGAACTCCGTTGTCATTTTTGAACAGACTCCAATTATAATGAATATTGCTTCCTCGAAAAGCTTACTTAAAAGCGACTTGCATTAAATTCTATTGAAGAATCACATTGTTTCATATACACAAACATTATCTCTTTTAACCCCTTAAGATCATTTGAAATAGCATAATACAGCCGACGTTGCAATAAAACCCCGTTAAGTACGCTAACTTACACGACGAGATCTTTGATTGACTACGGTGTCTACAAGATTCTCAATAAGAAATTGCATACATTTACATATTAAATAAACCAGTTTCGTACCGAATAAACTGTAAAAAGAATGAATAATGAATTTCCTTCAGGTTTCTTCAACCGAGATCCAATTTCGACTTGGTTCGGTTTGTTACGGCGATATTATCGAATCGTGAACTAAAAATAAGATATCTGGAAAACTGGTTATTGAATTGACTTTGAAATGTTGAAAATGCAGTACCATTATCCACTAATTTCATTTCGCAGTTCGTTCTACG